AATGATGGGCAAGATCGCCTAAGTTAAAAAAAAAAAAAAAAATATATAACCAAAGTTGTATGTATGGCTTGTTATACACTCTTCATGTAATTACAAACAGTAAGAATTATCAATATATAATTCTGTATGCAAAACTAATAAAATCCCGTTGACAATATAAACTGCCTTAACAAAAAAAAAAAAAAAAAAAAAAAAAAAAAAAAAAATCCAATAACACTAATAATATTTATTTAAATTAATTGCAATTCTAAAAATTAAAACTTATAAAATTATAAACACATATCGATATTAATATAATTTTTTAAATTATTATAATATAAAAAATATATAAATAAATTTTAAATAAAATATAGAAGCAAAAAAAAATTCTTAATTACTGTACAGTATAAACTTTTAAATTTTGTTTCATAAATTGATATAAGATATGTAAATATTATTTATATTGTATTATTATAAAAAACAGTGCCACTAGATAAATTATCATGCTCAAATATCAAAATGGCCTTCAAGAACTCGAAAAGTAATTCCACGCTCCGATATCTTTTGAAATAATGAAGTTTTGCCAAAAGAAACTGCCGGGGTTAAAACTAAATTATGTTGAAATAAGCGATTAATATTATGAAAAGATCTTTATTATAACTACATAAAAATTTTAATATTACCTCCTTTAGGTATTATAGTCTTTTCTCTTAACAATGTGTAAGCACATTGAACTAGCATAATAGATGTTGCGGAATATCCAGGTTCAGGCCCAGTAATTTCAGTAACAATTTCAACATCTGGTTGTAAATCGTGCGTTGACTTTTGATCATTACTGCTACTAATAAGAGGTGACTCTGAATCAAGGCTATGTTTAGAAGATTCCGAATTCTCATCAACATATATGCGGGACTTCGAAATTCCTCTTGCGTAGAATATATGATAAAAGCTGGTTTGCTGAATTTGTTCAAGTGTAGGCCCGTCATGTGAAAAAAGACCTATTAATAAACAAAAAAACAAAAGTTTAAGACCATGTCAATGTTATAGTTAAAGAAACTTCGTAGTTAGTTATTATTTTACCAAAGCTAAAGAATCTAGGGTATTTCAATAGTAAGAACTTTCCCCATGAATACTTTGCTAGAAAGTTTACTAATGCACCTCCAACGTAAAACATTAATAAATATCGATATTTGGGAAATGCAAGATATGCTGAAATTTGAGCAGATGGCACTCCTGTGTGATGTTCAATATCAAGTAGTTGACTTAACTGAATAACAGAATAATCTGATAGGGAGGAACGAACTGTATATGCTTTATGAAAGATTAAAATTAGAAATAATATATTATATAAATCTATAGAATTATTGCTTCAAATTACCAATGCTGAATATTGGAAATCCTACCCTTAACACGATTATCCCATTTTCCATTTGGACTTCTCTTCATGGGTGGACCAACAAATGTAGGCATAGTGCGATTAGCGTTCTTTCGTAATTCCCTGAGGCTATCAAAATTAGAGATGCCGTGTACTATAAAAAGTTAACGTGACTGTCAATAATAGTAAGTTTATATAACCAACACTAGATATGCAATTTACCTAAAGTTGAATAGGTTCCATAATTGAGGACAATTCCAGCTTTACCACCTTTAAAACTTGAAATCATTTCAACTTGTGAAGGAACCGCATTTCGCAATTGTAATTGTTGTTTTGTATACAAGATTCCTAGATCTGCAGGCACCTGTGAGTTCAATGATAAATATCTAGGCATTTTATAATATTATAAAGAAAAATGCATTTATAATGTTGCATACACTATCATATCCACAAGCTGGAACTTTGTAACAAAAATTTTAAACCACGTTAATATAAAATTTTGAATTTGAAACATTTGTTAAAAAAATTTACATACCAACGGTTATGTTATTGGTTTTTGCGGCTTGATCATATGTCAATTGCATTCTTTCAATAAAATCCGGCTCCCCTGAAACATAAAATTTGTCAAGAATGGTACATTTTATTCACGAATATCATATTCTTAATATAATCCTATTATATTTTGCTACCAGAAATATCTATATAATCACAGGAATTTTCTACGCAAGCTCTGACCACCGGCTCACCATAGAATCGAAATGGACCTACGCAATTAATTAGCACTTTTGTTCTTCGTGCTACTGTGTTTAAAGTTTCTGGGTTCTCAACGTCAGCAACTAGGATTTCTGGTTTAGAAACATTGTTACCACTCGAATTGTTAACGATAGTAGAAACTTCAATAAGACGCGCTCTCGAACGCCCAGATATCCCCCACTTAAGTCCAGGTAATTGTTCTGCGGTTTGGCAAATTTGTTCAACCACAAATTGGCCGGTGAAACCTTTTATCAATCAAAATAATTTGTTTTTTTTTCTTATGAATAATAGATAACGGAGAATTACAATAAAACGCAATTCAATAACCCCCTTGATTTATATTTCTATTGATTTATACCGGGTATGTTTCAAGATTATTTATTTTGTAGGAGACCCGATACAAATCAATGGCCAATTTAATAATCATATTTCATAATGACCCTCTTCACATAACACCCTCCACATAATATACCCCCTGCCATACCCCGGGGTATAAATCAAATTTTTATTTACGTAGACTGTAAAATACCCGAGTATTTTCCATTGCGTTTTACAGTAAGTTTTGCATAATTTTATAATAACAATAATAAATATGCCAAACCAGTAGCACCGAAAATAACGAGATCAAGATCTTTTTTATTTTCTTGTGCCATTACAAATTTCTTGATTAAAGCCCACTTAAGTTCGATGATCTTTATTATAATATTTTATATCCTATTGGCTCCAGATAAGTATCACAAGATTTCTAATAAAGTGACATCATAATATAAGTGAAAAGCGAATTTTTGTTTACCGATCCTTAGCAAAGAATGAAGGTACGGAAACTTTTTCCCAGACTAGAACCGAAAGAATATCATAAATATATGTTTCTTTAGATCGCTATAGAAGGCTGTTGCCATAACCAATTGGAGTTGATTTATAAAACTATTGATTACATAGAGAAAAAAAAACAAATCAAAATTGATCTATTATTAATATGTGGAGATGTCGAGGTTTGAAAAGTTTAATGAATACTTTAATAGCTTTCAAAAAAAAAAAAAAAAAAAAGGAACAAAAAAATATATGTATATTTTTTTTCTAGACTATACGAAATAAGTCAGATTTAGATTCCACTAGTATGCCAGATCAATACAAAGAAATGGGCACGTTTTATAAATATTATTCAGGTGAACTTAAAGCTCCAATTCCGACAATTTTTATTGGCGGGAATCATGAAGCGAGCAATTACCTGTGGGAATTGTAAGAATAAGAATTGGCTTTTTTAAAAAATCTTAGCAAATATAACTTTTATTGAATTTTGATTATTTTCATTGATAGGTATTATGGAGGGTGGGTGTGTGAAAATGTTTACTACCTCGGTTGTTCTGGAGTTGTGAATTTTGGGGGCCTTCGTATAGGAGGACTTAGTGGAATATACAAACAAAGGGACTATGGGCTGGGTGTGTTGTAGTAAAATTGTGAAATTATCACTTATGATACATAAATTAAATATAGGTTTTTGATTATGATAGGTCATTTTGAAACGTTTCCATATACAAACGATACCATAAGATCTATTTATCATGTTAGACGTTATGAAATGTTTAAACTTAACATGGTATGTCATCCTTACCTGACTCTATCGCTTATATATGTCTACTTTAATGATCCATACACTTACTTCAAATGTGACGTGAACAGATTAGACAACCTATAGATATATTCCTTTCTCATGATTGGCCTGAAAATATAACAAGATTTGGAAATGAGAATAGACTTAAACAAATAAAGAGAGGCCTTGCACCAGATGTAGGTTGGAAAAATTAATATCATTTAAAAAGTTTTAAAATGTATATTATTCGATTAACCATTGATAATGGCACGTTTTTCACAGATTGAAAAGGTCAGGCTTGGAAACCCATATTGCGAGTTACTGCTTTATAAATTAAAACCTAGATATTGGTTTGCTGCGCATCTTCACGTTAAATTTGCTGCATTGATACCTCATGAAGTTCCACAAACAGCAACAGTTCCGAATCCAGATGAAATACCTATCTCGCTTGATGAAACTATTGCCAACCAGGATGAAATAGATGATCCGGATGAATTACCTTCTTTCATCGATGATACTAATAATGCAAATGATGTTAGTGAGACTGATAAGATACATATAATTAACTCTGAAGAAATACCAGTTGCAGATAATATGACAATGGAATTGCCACTAGAATTGGAAGATCTTGATGAACTTTTGACTTCAGCAACAGTTCCGAATTCAGATGAAATACCTATCTCGCTTGATGAAGCTATTGTCAATCAGGATAAAATAAATGATCCGGATGAATTACCTTCTTTCATCGATGATACCAATAATGCAAATGATGTTAGTAAGACTGATAAGATACATATAGTTAACTCTGAAGAAATGCCAGTTGCAAATAATATGACAATGGAATTGCCACTAGAATTGGAAGATCTTGATGAACTTTTGGCTTCAGCAACAGTTCCGAAATCAGATGAAATACCTATCTCGCTCGACGAAGCTATTGCCAATCGGGATGAAATAGATGATCCGGATGAATTACCTTCTTTCATCGATAATACCAATAATGCAAATGATGTTAGTAAGACTGATGAGATACATATAATTAGCTCTGAAGAAATGCCAGTTGCAGATAATATGACAATGGAATTGCCACTAGAATTGGAAGATCTTGATGAACTTTTGACTTCAGCAACTTCTTCCAATACGCAGACTTCGTATACGCGTTTTTTATCACTCGACAAATGTTTGCCTGGTCGCGAGTTTTTACAGGTCTATATTTCGTAATTCTAGTTTTGTATCTCCTTTTTTTTTTTTTTTTTTATTGTTGTGTAAGTTGTGCGTCATATTTTAATTAATATTGATTATTGATTAGGTCTTAGACTTTCCTGAAGCAAATGGACCTATGGAATTTAGTTATGACGAAGAGTGGTTGGCAATAACGAAGGCAACAGATCAATTTTTCTCGGTTACATATAAGCAGGTTCCTTTACCGACAGAAATTCAGATTCGAGAGTATGTTTACTGAAAATGTGATATTTTTTCGTCATAATTCGAATAACATAATTTTTTAAAATATTCCAAGGCAAATTGATGCTTCTCAAGAATGGGTTCGGAACAATATTTTACAAAAAGGCCCTGGACTTTTGATTCCTAAAAATTTTCGTCCCACTGCACCTGCACATAATGCTAGCGATCAACAGCAGTATAGTTATCGTAAGCAATTTTTATGATTATATTTATATAAAAATAATTAGCAAATTTTTATTTAATTTTTATTTTTATTCAGATACTCCGTTCTTGAATCCACAAACAATCGCGTTTACTCAAATGTTAGAGATTGAGAACAAGATTAACCCAAGCGGTCAAACTGTTAGGGAAAAGTGACTAGAGATTTACTAATTTTGTATTTATATTAAATTATTCCTGATATTTATATATTATATATATTGTATTTTATATATTTCTATAATCCGTTTTTTCTTTTTTGAAATTTTAAAGGCTATCTGATACTTAGTGAAATAACAGATATTATTGAGATAATTCTATAGGTTTGTTTAAAATTTTGCTGTCATTAGTAGTTAACTATTCGTAGGGTTGTTAATAGCTTTCGTATCATAAAAATTTCATATAGAGATCGGTGATTATTTTACCGTTAGTGTCAGGTGCATATTAGGTTTTGATAATTTAAAATTTTGAAGATTTAATTTAGATGACAACTTATATGTATAAATTTTTATGAATTACAACCAAAAATATTAACATAAAACGGGTTAAAACGACGATTTAAAATAAACCCAGGTTCAAACCGGTACATCCTAAAAAGGAAATTTATGTTAAATCGCGTTATTTATTCTTTTTTGATGTTATCTGTGATATATGTAAAATAATTTAAATATTCCGTTTTTTCCATTCCTATTTTGTTCGTCTAGACCATTTTTATGAAAACAAAAGTTGTTAAATAAATAGTGTATAATACAAAAAAGAGGTGAAATAATTGAGACAAGATTATAATAATATAAATATAAATGAAACTCAATAATTGGATAACAAAAATGCAAGCAATTCTAAATGTGAAATTATAAAATAATAAATAAAAATGGTCGAGACTAATAAGTAATGACAAAAAGGGAATTGTTTGTAATGTGTACATAATAAATATACGCAGAAAATGAGTGAATGATACGCTTATGTGCGCATGATATTGTTCTCTTAACAAATATTATACCGTTTTTTTTTTTCAAGTTCGTTATATGTAGTTTCGAGCGAAGTTAACTCATATTATCAAAAGCGAATCCGGTCTAACAAATATGCCGTGATTGGCTTTAGCCGTGAAGTATTTTCTGCTAGCTACAACGCCATTATTTTTGCCAACTAGAAAAAAGAAAAAAGAAATATATATGTATATTAAAAATTGCTATAAAATAATAACTAATTGGAATTTAGAGCTTACCAGGGTTATCTAATTCTACGCCCACCCAGATTCCTTTAGCAAAATCTGTTTCACCTAAGAATTGTATACAACCTGGAGCATTGTTCTTTGTTGGAAGTATAATACGTCTTCCAACCGAAATATCTGCCGAAGGATTAGTAGCCAATTTAAGTTGATGTGGCTTAGGTGGCAAACTAGTGATGATTCCGTTTGAACTAGATGTAACTGAGATAGTTGAAATTACAGATGGAGAACGGTTTCGTTTGTGATGAGAAGAGGAGGTTGTTGTTGCAACTGACGAAGTTGAAGCAATAGAACTGGCTCTAGAAGATTTTGGAGTAGTATCATCTCGTTCACGATCACGACCTCGTCGTTGTTGAACGTCGTCATACTTAAGTTGCCTTAACATGCTAGCACGAGTTTGTCGTACACCGTTAACGCTAAATCGTGATGGTGATACGGATGGTGAAGTAACTGACTTTGCAGAAGAAATCGAACTTGTACGTGACGAGGCATTAGATGTGGCCTGTTTAGTAGTGGGACGTCCTCTTGGTGTAACAGGAGACGTTTTAGGAACTCGAAGATTAGACGAAGATGAAGAATTCCGTATAGTACGATCAATTTTACTATTAGTAGTTGTTGTTCTAGTTGTTTTTGTTGATGTTGAACCTGCTGAAGAAGGTTTCGGCGGTATTGACGTACTTTTTATTCGTGGTTTTACGGGATTTTTTGCAGAAGACTCTGCCAATGCTTTTTGACGTAAAACACTGGCACGAGTTGGTCGATCCCACACAGGTGTATCACCAACAATGCGTACATTTTTACCCTTTTTCGTAGCAGTAGTTCTTGTGGTTTTTACAGTCTCACTACTCGTTGATGATTCAGCTGTAGATTTGGAAACATTAGAGGTTACAATTTCTGGAATCGATTTTGTATTTGTAACTTTTTCTGATGACGTCGATTCTGTTTGCGTCGTTGTAATTGTAACCTTTGGAAGAGGTGTTATCATGCCTTTTTTAGACAATCCATTTGTTGCACTGGGTGTTCTAGTTTTAGGTTTTGGAGGTTGAACTTGAGGTTGAACTTGAGTCTGATCAACGAGTGCTTGTAACTCGTTTCGGTCTACATTCAGTTCTTTTTTTTTTTTTTTTTTTTTTTTTTTTTTAAATAAATATATATATTATATAAAAATAAATTGAAAAAATAAATAATAAATAAATATATATCTATATATGTATATAGCATATATAGTATAACAACATTCCGAAAATAAACCTTACCTTTTACGAATTCATCCAATAACCAGGGGCTTAGAAGTCTAAAGCCACCATACTGTTTTACTCCTAACCATCGCTTTTTCATATAATTAAATACATTTTGTTTTGATTGTGTAAGTAATCTTTTTGTTTCTGAGTTCTCCGGACTTAAAACTGCTGGTCTCGTTAATAATTTACCGGTAATAGATTTAAGAATACGTGCAGAGTTTTGTTCGGTTAAACTTTCTTCAACTACAATATTCATAATGTCCTCTAAAGTATCTGAACTAAATCCTACACCATCCACACAATTTAAAAATTCTTGATCTTCATCACAAAGTTGCTCAAAATTTTCAACTAAAATTTTCGCAGCATATGATCTAACCTCATTAGTCATACGACGAACTGTCTCTATCCAAGGTAGACCTATACCTTTTATATCAATTACTGAAATAATATTTCGACATCCTTTAAATGTATTAATAACATTATTTCTTTGAATGCTTGCAAGTAATATTAATAGAATCTCCTCTCTAGTCTCTTCATCAAGATTTGCGAATTCTTTATTAGGCCACATACTATCAAAACCCTGAGATAAAACATGTAGACACCCTCTCCATAATTTTTCAACATCGTGCTCTTTCGCAAAAGCAGCCACTCTAGGCACAACAGTTTGACACTCACCACAAGTACATTTAAAAAAATGAGCTTTTGTAGCGATACGATATACACATTCTTCACAA